TAAAGTCACTTCATTTAGTTTCTCTCCCATGGCTCCCTTCTGAATGGCTTTTAAAATATACTTTCAAAAGTACTGAGGTTTAATGATCTGACACTTCTCCCACTGAAGTCACTGTTGAAATTCCCCTTGACTTCAGGTTCTAAACAAGCTAATGAATAGGCTGAAAAAAAAGTACAAGATATGTGAAATTGAAGCTATAACCAACAGGGATTTTAATTTCAGTTCCAGTAGAACTAGTTTTAAAATAAAAATAGAAGCCACAATTCCCATTTCCTAGATGACTGCCTCGATGCTAAGATTCCTGGTCATTCTGATATCAGCATTGTGACCACTTATTTGCTCTCTGCCAGTCAATCAAATACATTAGAAAAGGTCTTGTTTTAAGTTCAGAAGAGAACGAGTCATTTTTGTAATAACAAAATAATTGCAGTGCTGAGAAAACCGCTTCCACCAGCTCCCTTTTTGGTCGACTTTTGTTCACACGTGTCCTGGCAGATGTAAGCACAATTTTGTGGGGCAGAAAATGCATCAAAATAACAAACTACTATATTGATCAAAACAGCATTTCATTGTGCAGCACCCCTCAAAACCAAGTTTCCTTACCTACTGTCTTCATGTTGTTCACTGACACAATATTGATAGCAGTAAATGCAAGATATGTTAAAAGAGAGAAAGTGGAATAAAAAGCCCCAAACTTTCTAAAAGCACCAGATTTCTAATTTTCAAAATAATAAGTGAGGCATCACCCCTGAAGTACACATGAAACAGATCTTACAGGGAGATTTATTACTGCCTTGTTTTTCAGTCCGTGTTAAGACCTCTTGATTAGTCAACCTCTTCCAGGCAGTTATCTAATTTACCCTTTCTCAGTTGTGTGGCCAGGTTTCCACTTGTGATGACACATCCACCTGCACTTTTCAAATAACTTTTCTCTGATTACTCACAAGCACACAACAACTTTGGGATGCTTATGGATGATTGCATGTGGACATTTAAAGATGCAAGAAACAAGTAATGACCTTTTAGTGAGATTACTACCTTCCAAATGGACATAAGTCAGATTCAGTACCTCTGCTCCTTCTGGCTACTTGTGCCTATCAACCTGACTAAGAAGATACATATTTTTCATGAAAAATTTAATCTGTCTGCTGTGAGCCATGAATTTAGAAAGAGGAAGACAGCTTTCTTCTCTCATGGAGGGGTAGTGAGTCAAGGAAAGGAGAAGCCCAAAAACCTGCTAGAGCATGGTACTAAACAAGAGAACTAAGTGTGCTGGATGATTTTTTTCTTCGTTTTAAATACATGCAAGGAACTATAAAAAGTCAATAATGAATAGGCTGAATAAATAGTTGCATGCAGGTTTCATGCCATTGCCTCATTAAGGCATCTGCTGATATTTACCAGCTCACAACAGCAGAGTTAATGCAAACTGTGTAATTCCTTTCCATATTACCCTTCCAAATAATAGACATTACCCTTAATGGGAATATCAAAGAAATGAAAAGCCAATAGTAAGTGAAAATTTCACAGTGTTATGGTGCTAAAGCAGCGTCAGCACCAATTTAAAAGTGTTTCCATTTAAAATTTAATGAATATGGTCAGACGCTGGAAAGCAGCACAAATGCTGTGCTGGTCAAGCAATGTCCAGCTTTCTTAATTGGCTTCAGGCCTGATTTAAATTCTGTCCAATTCAATGGGACTCCTTCCAGTCACTTCACTGGATGTTACCTCTGGTCCTCAATGTTCCAGTGTTACGTGCCTAGGAAATATATTAGATTAGTGGTAAAACTTGTCATGTATCCAAGGGGTCATTTACTTCTCTCTCATGTAAAGAGAGTGATTTTCTGAACATGAATAGACTGGGTCTGTGAATATTAAAAATTACTGTTATGCACTCCATAATTTATCACTCAAATTGCACCTTCAGCTATATTGGGTATGCTCAAGGATCCTCAAGACTGCGTGATTAAGTACTCAGTAAGTTAACTAAGAGTTGGCTTCTCATTTCCTCACATCTGGAAGGATCATTTACATTTGTCAGATTTATTACTTATTTCTAGAATATTTGCGAGGTCATAGCATCTAGGAGCTGGAAGTTACATATCTGGACCTAACTTCTTAATGGTTCATAGGCTTAGAATAAAAAAACTCAAGCAACTCATAGTCCATGGAGAAGTGAGCAAATAACTGGGTACAGGAGGTTCTTTTCCAAGAGGGCCCTGAGGGAGATCAGTGAAGGAGCTTTAGGGTTGTGTTCAGGGAACACCTCCTATGCCTGGGAATGACAGCTCCAGTTTAAAAATCTACCAGGAGATGGATTGCAGGCTGGCAGCTGGGATGATGAGAATGGGGAGCAAGCCTTCCAGCAGCGTGTGAGCAATGATAGATTAAACTGTTTTTAAACCCTTTGAGACCCTCAGGTGAAAGACACTATATGATTACAAATAATCCTGAAAAGGCAAATGCTGAATATAAAGCTGTCAGTGGTTCTTCTGGAGGATGCAGGTCGTGCACCATGGCTTCCACTGATGCAAGTCTGGTCAGCTTGTTTGTCCTGTGCAAACATTTCCTTTCCTGTCCTGCTTCTTGTTACCTTTAATAATTAGAAAATGAAATCAATTTAATATAGTGAATGTATTATTTTTTTAAGAAAATGGAATTTTCCTGACATTTACTACACTTTTTTATATGAACCTGTCTTGATTTTATTTTCCTGATGTTTATTTGATCATAAAAATGTAGGTTAGTGGCAATGTGAAGTGAAATCAACAGTGTAACTTGAATTTAAATGTATCTTTTGATTTAATGAAAGTTTTTACTTGTGACCATGGGAAAAAGGCAGCTCAGAAGTCACAACAAAACTCATATTCTGTAAAATGCATTTCAAAAGCAAAAATTATGTATTTCAGAAATTCCTGTGCACATCCTGCCAATTTTGACCTCTGTAAACTCCAGGAAGTCAGATTTTACATAGCTCTACACCACATATATTCTCAGGACCAAATTGATCCAGATGACTCCACTCCCAATCCCAGTAAACTCTGCACCATTCCTTCTCCATACCTTCTCTGTACCTTAGGCCAAACCTAAAAAAACTGCTGTGAGCTGTATGGGAAATGAACCTGACTCATGGTTATTCACTCTGTAAATAGACCATTAACTCCAAGGCAAGGGTTCAACACAGATACATGCAGCCATTTTTATACTTTGGGCATTATAATTCTTGTGCCTGCTACGTAAGCAAATGTGCAGAAAAATGCATGGACGTATTTGTGGAAATCTCTGACCTTCTAAAATGAATGGGAGTCTTACTGAAGATTCAAGTAGAAATAGGTCTTTCATTATTCCTTAAGCTGATGACCACCAGTCATGTTGGTGACAGTTTGCCTCCCTCCTAGTATCCCTGGAAAAGCAGAATTGATAGATGGCTCTTCCATTACCAAGAGCATCACAATTCTGGTGTGGTTTTAAATGTGTTTAGCCATCATTTCCTTCTCCTGGTATGATCCTGGGTGCAAGATAAAAGTAATTAAGTGTTTAATGAGGTTGAGAGAATGATGCACTAGGCAGAGTTTCATGGATTAAGCTTTGAGCTGTACAGAGAGGATCTAGTCCTAATAGACAATATATGCCTGTAATTTGCTAATGACTTTGTGGAAATTGTGGGTGCTTGATCTCTAAAGCAGCCTCCACTTGGAGCTGGCCCCTTGAAAGCACTAGCTTGGCAGGGCTGAGAGAACAAGCAGTTTGTGTAAACCATTACCTATGCAAACTCGTCATTTTGGCTGACAATAAGAGACAGTGGGAAGAAAATAATTAGACTAACCATGCTGAGTGTCCTCATCAAAGGACAAAATATCAGACCTAGAAATATGAGTGTGATTTCTTTTTTTTTTTTTTTTTCCAGTTGTTATCTTCAGACTAACACAAAAAGAGGCAATGAGAAAACAAGGATTTATGTCAGACTGGAACTCCTCATTATCAACCTGCTACCTTGAGATGGAAAAAAGAATTCCTGCAACTCGATTCTTCACAAGCAAACTCTGATTGCTAATTATTTGCTAAATTTCCTGCTGATGTTCCCTGAGTGTCGGCAGGCTTGATGAAAGTTTCTGATGCTTGTCTTGTCAGCAGGAGAGAAGAAAAAGTGGGGCAGTTTAGTTCAGAAAGGACCCTCACTGCTCATCCCTTACATTTTCACTGAACGTGCATTGACACTCGTCTGCCACCAGTTCACAGCATCCCCTCCACCTTCCTTCATCACAGACGTTTGAAGTGCAGCTGCTCAGGTTCTCTAAAAATGTATGGCAATAAAAAACTCTGAAAAAACCAAAACTGATATCATGTCATTCACCTTCTACAGTCTCAAGAATAGAAGAAAACTTGCATGTCAGAAAATTATTGTAACAGGTACAGTCACTTTTACCTGTCTATCGCCTCTCTTCACACTCAGCCAAACTAAAAGCAATAAATTATTGCTGTCCAGTGTTATTTAATATTTGGTATTCAGATATTTCCCAGCACTGGCTATCTGGAGAGCTGCTAGGACAGTATTTCCAATATTCCTGTAACAATATGATGCTTCTATACAGAGAGAGGCCTGTGGTGTCAGACAGAGGTCAGTTTTTCAATGACATTGAATGATAACTGCAAAATTGCATAGGAGGAAAATTGCAGAGGAGGAGCAGGGACTGGAATCTGGGCTCTCTGTGCCACAGGGAGGCCTCTGTACAATCTAAGTATATTAATAACCACACATGGTCTCCTTTTCCTTACTGATGAATATTATTCCATGCATTGTGGAAGGGCTTTAATGGGAGAAAATTAGAGGACATTTCTTGTCTTCCTCTCATTTTACATCAACTACCATAATTAGGTGATGGTCTTACAGCTATCCTTTTTTGGGAAACAGAAGAATCAGTATTTGAGTCATCAGTATTGATGACTCAAACTCATATTGTTTGAGTCATCAGCTAGGCAGATTTAACACCCATAAATCCATGGGCTCTCATGGAATACACCCATGGCTGCTGAGTGAGCTGGCAGTTGTTGCTGTTCTGCTGCTCTCCACAATCTTTGAAAAATCATGGAGAATGGGAGAGCTGCCTGATGACTGGAGGAATGCCAATGTTATTTCTATCTTCAAAAAGGGGAAGAAGGAGAGCCCAGGAAACAATCAGCCAGAGAGCCTCATCTCCATCCCTGCAATGATTATGGAAAAGGTCATTCTGGAGGTCATCACCAAGAATATAAAAGAAAAGAAGGTCATCAGGAGTAGTCAGCGTAGACTCTTCAAGGGGGAATCAAGCTTAACCAATCTGACCTTCTGTGATCGCCTGGCAGGATGGATCAATGAGGAGAGAGCAGTGGATTTGTCCATCTTGACTTCACAAGGGTTTTGCGCTGTCTCCCATGGTATCCGTGCAGGTAAGCTCAGGAAATGTGGGTTAGGTGAGTGGACAGTGAGGTGGATCAGGAGCTGGCTGAATGGCAGAGCTCAGAGGGCTGTGGGCAGCAGAGTAGTCCATGACGTTCCCTAGGAATCAATAGTGAGTCCAGTCTCGCTCAATTTGTTTGTCAGCAACCTGGACAATGGGATAGAATGTGCCCTCAGCACGTTTCCTGGTGGTGCAGACTGGGGGAGTGGCTCAGGTGTGCATTTATGCCACACCTGAGGCTGTGCTGCCATTCAGTGGGACCTCGATGGGCTGGAGCTGGGCAGAGGGAAACTCAGTGAGGTTCAGCAAGGGCAAGTGTGGGGTCCTGCACTTGGGGAGGAATGGCCCCAGGTACCAGCACAGGCTGGGGACTGACCTGCTAAAGAGTAGATCTGAATAAAACCCACCATCTTTCCAATCTGAATAACTTTGCATCTTCACTGTATCTGAGAAACAGAGGTATACATAGTTATACTATCCAGGTACATTTGAAGATCAAATAGAAAACATCTGAAGGAAAGTTTGGCATCTGATCCAAGAACAGATTTTAATAATTTTTAAACAGACCAACTGATTAGTTGTGAGTTTGTAAGGAATTTGTTATATGAAAGCTTCCAGAAATCTTACACTGCCTTAGTGTATTTTTATGTCAATAAGATCAGTCGAGATAGTTAAAACAAGCAACAAAAATTTATAGCACTCAGGAAGTGCTGAGATACTGTGAAGGGATGATGCAGTGAATTAATGACATAGTTTATTATATTTTTTCCTTATGACTTTGCATTAGAGGGGCTAGCTGTATAGACACAATTTTATTCAGATCACATAATGTTCAGTGCATTAGGTTTAATGGGCCTACTTCAAATGAGATTAAAGAAGTCATATTTAAAAAGAAAATATGCTGGAATGATTAAAAATACCTAACTTATTTTTATTTTCCTTAGCTTTTATGTCTAGGATTTCTTCTGCCATGAGAATTGGAAGAATGACTTTTTTTTCCCTGGTTAGTATAATTGTTGAGGCAATTTTTTTTCCTGTGCTTTCCTTAAAAGAAACATATCATGTATTCTGACCTTTCTGAAGTATTCAGAATTCAGTCCCCTACAGTGCCATTACTTATTTTCTGGGTTATTAGATTATTTCCAAGTATCATACCATGAAATAAAAATGTGTAACCCTGTTCAATATAAACTTAGTGACACTAGGGGTGAGAGAATCAGGAGTGCAGGTAAACAAATAAACAATGAAAACTTGGGACCATCTCATGTCTTGTTCATGTGTTATGTTAAACTGCAATTTCTCGACAAGCTTCTATTCCTCCTTCTGTATGAATCTCATTTATCTCTGGCCACATTTGAAACTAACACAATTTTCACAGGATCAGGTTACATGGATGGTTTCCAAAGTTTAGCTCTGCATGAGGCAGGTGGTGCTTGAATTTATGATTAAGGAACTTTCCTCTGGAAAGATTTCCTTGAAAACTTGAAGCTAGAAAGTGCTGCAACTTTGAGGAGAGAACAAAATACTAGGAATCAGTTATTTTAGAAGTTTGGTTACAAATGGATGCTTTCTCTGTCATGTGACTGAAACCCAAGCACTAAAATTCAGACATAGTTTTTGCCCTAAAGCCACATTCTGCAGCAAAATGCTCTAACAGAACGCCTCTGACAGGAGTCTTGGCGAAGAAAGAACATTATTGTGATCCCACTTTGTATCAGCTACTGCATTCTTGAATTCACAGCTGCAAATCTGTGTAAAATGTCCTAGATTAGCAGCCGGGCTCAAATGTTACTAGACCATTATGGAAATGCCACTAGAGCCACTGCTTGAAAAAGCCTGGGTTAGTGTATCTGCATCTGAGGAGATGCAGCATGGAGACTGGGATAAGCATGCAGACTTCAGAACCTGTCCATAGTTTTCCAGATTCTCAGAATTCATTTGGTCTCAAGATCGAGAAAAAGAATAAAAATTTATATATTTTCATCCAAAATTAATCATACTCTTTCATGCTCTGTTGATCATTCCTGTAGAGAAAAACCTTTCTGATGCAGCAAAACCAAAATGTTCACATGCCAATGTGTGTGTTCCTCCACACTGTCCAGAAGGTACTAAAGGGAGAGTAAGTATTTAGCTCACTTTTCCATCCATCCATCCATCCATCCATCCATCCATCCATCCATCCATCCATCCATCCATCCATCCATCCATCCATCCATCCATCCATCCATCTCTCTGAGGCACCGCATGGTCCTGCAAGTCCCCTAGTTCTCTATCTGTTTTGGGCTACCCTTAGGAGCACCTGGGGAGCCACGTCCACATGCTCCAACCTTTTGACACTAAAATGTGATACACCCCATCACACAATCTTTGTAAATCTTTGCACCCAAGTGTGTGGCTGAATCTTTCCTGAATTTGTAGGGTGTGTTTCTATCAGGGTAAGTTTTGGTCTTACCTACCATACAAAGATTTTGTAGTCAATCCTGCAAAGAAATTGGAAGGAAGCTAATTCTTTTGCTACTACCAAAGCCTTTTAGTTTATTTCCTTTGCGGCCTGGAGGAGGTTTTGTTCCAAGCTAAGAAAGATCTCAGAGCCCATCATTTTTTCCCTACGTTTTTCCTTCAGGGTTGGTCAAAAGTTCAGTGCTTAAGATGAGGAAAGCCACAGGGCTCTTGGCAGAACTGGCCCACAGCAAAGTGAGAGGCACAAGTTTGCTTGGTTCATTGCATACAGTCATGCCATATTGCAACTAGAAAACTATTACTGTATCTAAGAGGAGAAAGAAATGACTTCTTAATTTGAAAATGACTTTTCTGTGTTAGGGATTTGACAGGGAGGATGAAGGACTAGAGGAGATAAAGTGTCGCTCTGCTGAAAAAATCATTTTGTAAACATGAAATATTGATCTGGCATGTATTGTGTGAGTTCTTGCAGTATGTGTATATTGAGTTCCAAATGTTGCACATTCAGAAAAGCCAAGTTAGAAAAATCACTTACAGGGATATATACACAAAAGTCCACAATATGGGCTGTCTGGAAAAGCACAAAATGTTTATCTAGACAAGAAGAAAATTCTTTTCCATATTGCTGAATAAGGTTTTTGTGGCCACAAGTTTTGTGTGAGCAGGATTTAATGCTATCTAAAGTATCCATAATCTGCATTTTTATGGCTAATTAATATAGCTGGTTTGAAAAGTGCTTTCATTAGAATTTGTCTTTTGTTTTCCCCCTTTCCTTTTTCTTGACTTCAATAGAAATTTCTTTTGCAACCCTGAATATGGGAACATTTATACCCACATCTTTTTATAGCTCCATATTTTAAAGTGCTGTCTCTAATTGTTGTTGCTCTCTGGCCACTTTACAACATCTTTAAAACTTCCCTATATTCCCAGACTGACATGAAATGGTCATAGTCTAAATGTACAGCAGACTCAGAGGAACTTAATTACAGATGTGTCATTAAGAGCACATTGATTTTCACTGATTAATCCTTAAAAGGATTAATTATTTGCTTTTTATAAATAATGTGGTGCAACCTGCTCAAATTTTCAGTTCTACCTATATCTCTCACCATTATAACAAAAAAGGGTTAAGATCTCTGTTTTTTGAGGCTCTATTGTCTTTGCTATAATGCTTTTCTTTCTGATCATGAGGGTTAGAAAAATATTTCTACAGATACAAACATTTCAGATTCTGAAGGAATAAAATCCTTTCATGAACTGAAAATTTAAGAAAACAAGGGTTTTAAGACTGAGGAAGAAGCACGAAGAGCTGGCACTGTCCAGTTGAATACAATGCATATGTTCGGGTAAATCTTCTAATTCATTGAACAACAAAGATTTTCTAACAGACCACATGAATTTTTCATGATGTGGGTACAGTTTTGTCACCATTGTACAAATACTGATACATGTTAATAAGTCAGTTACATACTTTTTATATGCAAATAATGTAAGCATTAACAATACAGTCACAATAGTATCAGAATCAATAAATTATAAAAATTTTGAAAGCGTACCTTTGCTATTTTTTTATAACTGGATATAAAGATGGAATTATGGTTATTTAGCAGTTAAGACAGAGCTTTAAAATGAAAAGAACGCCATGTCTTCCAAAAAGCCATAACCAAAGCTATAGCTATGACAGTACAGCTAAGAGAATGTTCTGCTCATGGCTGGGGAGGAGAACGAGGTTGGTAAAGAATGGAATCCAACTGTCAGGGCTTCTCACCTCTAAACAAGAATTATTCTTTCCCCAAAGCGTCATGATTAAAAAAACAAATCTCAGCATAATTCATTTAAAGGGTGCAGCACAACTGTTCACCAAAGCATGATTAATTTTTTCATTTCTGAAAGAAAGGAATGATTCCAAAGTACTGAAGATGATATCAGTCCCCCATTTATGATGGTGTAAAGGTGATGGCAGCTGGGGTTGCAATGGTTCAAGGAAAATTTGCCTCGAGGATGCAGAATATCTCTTCACATAAGACAGAATGCAAGATCTGTATGAGCAAGGATAATCTCTGGAAAAGGAAAACTACCAACTCTCCCTGAGGAGTGTCCTGTTCTACAGGGACTGAGGCCATATGGATGGTTTGGTGCATGGTGACCTCTGTCCCTTGTTCTCCTTGTAGCTAACAGGGAGATGAAAGCAATTGCACCTCCCTCTGCCGGTTATCACTGCTGATACACATCCACAAACCAGAAACTTCAGGCAGATATTTCCATCCTGGAGAGAGAGCCTGTGTGCTGCTTTCCAGGAGGTGGCACATTTCCTATCCAGGCACAAAAAGAATGCTTCATGCTCACTCCCCATGGAAGACCAGGTGGAATATGACCCAAAGATACTTCCTCCCCTCTGTTTTACAATTACAGTGAAGATCTGGAGTGGAGAGGCAGCAGTCAAATTAATAATTAGCACTCTGATAACTACATCTGTGTTTTTAAGATTTCATTTTGATTTGCATGGGCCTGCAGAGTCAGCTGTTAAGTTGTAATTCAGCTGTGTTAAGTGTTTATTTGTCATTTTTAGAAGAGGGAGAGAAAAAATCTAACAGAATTGGATCTTTGTCATTAGACCTAGGAAAAAATATGAGCCTAAATGCTCAATTCATTAGTGAAGCACTGGGGCCAACGCTACCAAAAGAAAGGAAAAATCTTTTACAAGCAGGTAATAAGTAAACAAATGCTCCCCAGAAGCGACAAACAGATGAATGATGCACACTGACATTTCACACATTCATCTTAAGGAGGAAATTGGACCTGAAGTGATTCTCTTGGTTGATAATTGGCTATAACTGAACAGAGCAGGGCACTTCTACCTAACTGATGTATGTTATAATTTCATCATAGGTTCACAAAGGAAATGGCGTTTATGATTGAAAACAGCAAATGTACTGTACACATAGTGGGTGTTTACTGCTGCAGTTGCAATATGTATGGAGCTTTGTACTCTTCTGTCTTCTCTTTCCAAGGCATTCAGACTCCATGTTGCCTCCCACACACTCCTGGATCCTTCTGGATGCAAAGCACTCAGGTGGTGCCTGAAAGTGCTGTTCTGAAAGCAAACCCCTTTGACCAACGCTGTTTAACCTGTGATGCTGCTACCTGCCTATTGCTGTCTTAAAATAGGTGCTCATAAGCATCCTTTGAACTAATGCCTCCTTCCTGTAGTCAGCCGAAACAAAATCAGAAGTGAAGACTAGAAGAACCTGTCAGTTGAAAGCCAAAGCAATTTTTCCGTTTACATTTGGAAATGTGAAAGGCCTTTGGCATTGTCTCAAAAAAATTTACTGTTGCAATACACATCACATGGGCAGCTATAGTTTTTACCCTCATATTAACAGGACAGCAAAGCTGCGAAGATCCATGGTTGGGATCTGTGAAATTGCCATTAATTTCTGGATTCTTGGATGAAATTTATAATTACTACTCACTCCCAAATCTGATATCAAATCTAGGGGAATAGCAAACTCCCACCTCTGAGTGGTGATGTTTAAAATTGTAAAATTAAATTCTTCTTTGGATAAAACTGGAAAAAATAAATTAAACTTTTTCCAGGAATCTGCCCATGTCTTCATTGCTTTAGGAATCAAATCCCTTCACCAAACATTCTGTCAAGGAGATCCAGAGATTATTGCTAAAATAAACCAAAAAAAATCATAGAAACATTTAGGTTGGTAAAGACCTTTAAGATTATCAACTCCAGCTGTAAACCAAACACTGACAAGCCCAGCATTAAACCACGTCCCTGAGTACCCCATCTACACCACCCACATGTCCTTTAAATACATTCAAGGATGACAACTCCCTATGGCAGCCTGTTCCAGAGCTTGACCACATTTTTGGAAGGTATTTTTGCTCATAACCAGTCCACATCTCTCCTGGCACAACTTGAGGCCATTTCTTCTCCTCCTACTGCTTATTAACTGGGAGAAGAGATAGGCCCTCACCTGGCTACAGCGTCCTTTCAGGAGTTGTAGAGAACAGTAAGATTTCTTCTCAGCCTCCTTTTGTCCTGGCTAAACACCTCCTGCTCCCTCAGCTGCTCCTCATAGGACCTGTGCTCCAGGACCTTCCCCAGCTCTGTTGCCTCCTCTGGACATGCTCCAGCACCTCAGTGTCTTTCTTGTCATGAGGAGCCCAAAGCTGACCCCAGGATTTGAGGTGCGGCCTCACCAGTGCCAAATACAGGGAAACAATCACTGCCCTGGTCTCCCTTGACACACTATTTCTGAAATAAGCCTGGTGTCATTTGCCTTAGCCATCTGGGCACAGCTGGATCATGTTCAGCTATTGACCACCTCCTGCAGATCCTTTTCTGCAGGGCAGCTTTCCCAGCCTGTAGTGCTGCCTAAGGGAATGGCCTGAAGTTGTGCCAAGGTAGGTTTAGATATTAGGAAAAGATTCTTCACCCAGAGGGTGGTTGGGCCCTGGAACGGGCTTCTCAGGGCAGTGGTCACAGCCCCATGCCTGAGAGAGCTCAAGGATCATTTGATCATTCAAGCACATGGTGTGACTCTTGGGGACGGTCCTGTGCAGGGCCAGGAGCTGAACTCGCTGATCCTTGTGGGTACCTTCCAACTCAGCTGACTCAGTGACTCTGGGATTCTGTGACCCAAGGGGAGGATGTGGGACTTGGATTTGTTGAATCTCATAGAACTGATTTCAGCCCATCGATCCAGCTTGTCCAGATCCCTCGGCAGAGCCTTTCTTCCCTCCAGCAGATTGACTCCCACACCCAACTTGGTGTCATCTACAAATTGACAGAGGGTGCACTCAATTCCTTTGTTCAGGTCATTGGTAAAGATGCTAAAAAGGACTGGTCTAAATATTGAGCCCTGGGAACACCACTGATGGGTGTAACTCCACCCAGCATCACTCTCTGGGCCCGGACATCCAGCCTGCTTTCTACACAACAGGGTTGATCCATGCAAGCCAGGTTTCTCCAGGAAAATGCTCTGGAGACTCACTTCAGCTGTGGCCTCCTGTGGTCATTCTTTTACAGGATACAGAAGTTCCAGGCAAAAAATATATAAAGAATATTCTCAGGGCTCTTGATGAATTCAGAGCAACCTCTAGGCCATTCCAAAGAAATTCTATCTGCTTTTTCATCAATTGGAAACTTTTCTTTCTAATCTGGAATGGGAGAACTTTGGAATCCCAACATTTTGCAAAAAGAGAAATTATCTAATGCCAGACTAAACTTAAAAGGATAGCAGCATTTTTTCTTATAAAATGTTCAGATACTGTGGAAATAAAAATTCCTAAAAATAGAGACTGATTTGAAATGTCATTATTAATAAGCTTTTTCATTAGGAATAAAAAGTTTTCACTATAAGCATTGCAACAGGGACCTGCATGGACCAGTCACATCCTTGTACTTACATTCAGTATCACATTGCTCATTTACATTGAAATTAATCAGATTTTTTCTCAAATCCTTATCTTCAGCACTGATTCCTAACAATACATCATTTATACACTTGATTTTTCTTTACTGAACTGAGCTTAGGAATTCAAATTCTCAGATATTTGAATATACAATTCATATACGTATAACACTTTTGATGAACATCATTAAAATGCTTGTTCTTTTTAATCAATTGCTCAAAAATCACTGTGCTTTTGAGCTCTAACACTCTGTTCTCCTTTGCTTGGGCAGATAAAACTACATGGGACACAGAGTATGTAATTATTTACATGCTTATACCAGAAATAATTTTCTAAAGAGGTTACAGTATTATGAGAGCATTTAATGAAGTACTTTCAGTTTTTGTGCAATTAATGCAAATTTATGTGATGATCTACTATTTTACCAATCACTGACTGTGTGCATTTTAATTTTCTATCCTTCCTTTTACCAAAAAAGTTGTTTGCATTATACTCTTGACTGAGTTTAATTACAGCTGCTTTGAAATTTGCAATTTGTGCTCTGTGGGACGATCTACAATTCCAAAAAAAACAAAAAGAAATTCAGAATGGAAGGGAAAACATCTTCAAATTCCCCTTGGGAAGGAAGCCTGGGTGAGGAGCAATGACTGAGATCTCTTCCCTTAGCTGACTGAACGACAGAGCTCTCTTGACCACAGATATTTGTTCCAAAGCCTTTCCTTTTTGTTTGTCATACATCAGGAGATTCTGGTGCCAGCTAGGCTGTTTGAATTTCCTTCTTTGAGGAGGAAACCCCAGTGCTGTGGCAGAGCTGGTGGCTCTGGTGACTTTCAATGCTATGCCTATTGCTCATGTGGCCTCATGCAGTGAAAAATTTTAGTGTTTATACTCATGTACAGGGATTTAAACGTGAGAATGACCAAGGTCTGGATCACAGTGCTGAAATACATTTTAATGGCAGCACAATTAAGTTGACTTTACATCTGTATTCATTGTGACACAACGTTATTATTTTCTATTAAGGAAAAAAAATACATATTTCTGCCCACCCTTTCTTATTGTTTAATCTGGAGTATTTCCATTCACACAGGATTAAAATTACAAGCCTCCTTCAATTTTTTTTTTGCTGTTTTGTCATTCCCTCAATTTTTCTGCCTCAGGCACGTGAAGCAAACCTACTTTCACATACAGCCAAGACCACTTTTTACAAGATTAAAAAGTGGAGGCAAGCTGATAGCCATAACATATTTTTTTTTCCATTTCCACAATTTTCCCTGTCTATACCAACCAGATCTGCAGAGCTTTCACCAAGTCTCAGTTCTTTGACTAACAGAGCAGTATTTTGCTATGATTTTGTGGTCATGGAAACTAACAGACATTGCATTGGGTTAATTGTTTTATGCATACAGATCTAAATTACCTTACTGAAGTACACTAGCCAAATAAATCCATCTTCCTTTAGGTGTTTTTCAGAAACTGGAAATTGCCATTAAAATACCAAAACTGTGCATCAATGGAGATAGAACTTCTTTCCACATTTTAAATAATTTTCTTTCCACATTCCACCTTGCTGTAGGATGTTTACTTCTCTTGTTTTCCCATCAGTACAGAAAAGCGAAGCAAGGATAATTAATTTTCTTTACTGCTAACTCAGCCACTCCTTTTCCAGCCCTTTTTCTGTGGGGTGAAAGCACTTGTCTCATCTGACATCCTCCCATCACTTGAGCCTCCTTTGGCACTTTCAGTTGCATCAGCATTTTGATACCTGTCTGCAGCTATCCAGCTCCCTGCACCTTCCATTTATTTCTTAACCAGTTCACATATATTTTCTCCCCTGTTGTGCCTTATGCCAGGGTATTTGCATAGTGAAATCCTTGGACTCTTACAGATCCTTCCTTTCAAGGTTGCTCTTTTTCTGCAAGGTTTATATTATTTCTCAGTAGTCTGGCGAGGAGTAGACTGAGGTCACTGCTTATTATCCAGGACAAAAATATCTTATCTTTTTCATACATTTCCCTTTGGTTTTCTATTCTTTATTTGATCTTTTGCAATTAAAGTGTGAACTTATCGGGTTTTTGTTCTCTGTTTGTGAAGCATTTAGTACAAGGCTTTTGGGACATGTGAATTCCTAGACCCTGCAGTAATAAAAGACTAAGCACTTACAGACAGGGTAAAATAAGATATTGAAGGTAGAGTTATCTCCCAAACAAACATTATACATCCCAGAAACTTAGGGCTACCCTCAAATTCAGAGAAATGCAGTAATATTAGGTCACCAAAAAATGTTTGTCTGTTTGGACAATGTTAGTCCTGGTGTGACGCTGTGTAATAACAATATGGTTATGGCATTATAAGGATTTAAGCTGTCATTGACTCAAAGTTACTCTTTTTTCTGTCCCCTGAGGACTGTCAGAACAAGAGCAGTGTCCAGGGGTAGCCAAGGAGAGAACTCCTGAGGATCCCCCTAAGCAACACTTTTCCTTTCTCCCACTGATAAATTAGAAACTCGCAGCTCTGATGAATAACAGCAAAAAAGGACATAATTTCTAAAATAATTACTTTGAAAATGTCCTATGAAAAGAGTTCAAATAATTCTGATGATATATGAATAATGAAGAGTCTATATTTTATAACAGAAGTCATTAGGGATGAATAAAAGTCTGACAGAAGGTGTAAAAGTACCTATTTTCAATTAACTCTAACTCAAACTAAATAATGGATTTACTTGTAAATTCTCAGAAAATCCATTGCATACTCTGTAAGTACTGTAATTTTTAGGAAAAATGGAATATATTTAGTGCATAGAAAAGTGACTGGATCCCTCCTTTAAACAGAAATTTCATTTCCGCCTCAACTTTAAACCAGTGCTGGGCACCTTCCTAATTCTCCTACTTCACTCTATCCACAGAGTGAAAATAGAAGGTGAATAGGAGCCTACAAGGAAACCTGATATATCATCAGGGGAAAAAACTTGATAGATAAAGAGAGTTCCATATTCATAAAAATATATCTCAATAACTAAGCTAGAAGGAAAAAAATCCAACCTTGATTGGCCAATTATAAAACTATAAATGACTGAACTTTTGAGAATGCTCTTGTGGCATCAGCGGAAGCTTTTAACTAAGTCTGATGACATCCTGTCCTTATTGTGTTTGTATTTCAGCATACACTTTCCATGCTGTCTTATGTTGCTCTCATACTGCTGTTTAAAATATTTGCAGTAAAAATTCTTCTGGAAATGCACATGCTTTAAACATGGTTAAACAAATATGCTTTAAACATGGTTAAACAAAATAAAAAACCAAATTCATAAACACCATGCATGGCAATCCTGCAGATTTTGTCCCCACCTCATTTCTTTTTCAGGACAGTCTTCCAAAAAGACTTTCATCAGGAAGAGGAAGAAATCGTATACAAGCATAAAACTGTTATCTTGCAATGTTAACGTGTCTGGATTTTTAATAGTTTCTATGTATTTTAAGGAATTATTTAATCTAAGTACAAACTGTATAAATCTTAATTTTTTTCACTATTGTACATCCATTATATTTTATGGATTTTTCTTAACAACATGGATGGAACTGTAATAGATTTAACCAAAAACTATGCTGGGCATGTAGCAAAGGACATTGTCTCTGTAAGAATCATGGTGTTATAACTTCCTGCTCCTTCCAGTATATAGTCCTAATATTACATTAGCATATGGCCTGAGTAAGCTTTTTTAATGTATTAGCCTGACTTAGACAATATATCAAACCTCTGTCCTTGCTCTGTGGATCTGCTTGTCTGTCTTTCCTCCCTCTCCCAGAAGCAGGAAAGCCACAGAGCTAATAGCAGCCCCAGATGTTGTGCAAGAAGCTGTGTGTGAGCTGCAGGAAGAGATCCAGCCTGGTACCCAGGAAAAGGCAAGTTGGAGGCGGTGATGGTGCATCCTGTTTGGCAGTGCCAGTGTTTATGTGTGCATGGGACAGGCAGTGGGCACACGGGCAGCTGCTGACAGTCACCCACAGGTGTCCCCTGCAGCAGGGCATGCCACAAGGGGCATGGAGGGATGGAGTGGGAAGGCAAGACTGGTGGGCAAACACCTTGGGTGAAACCACATCTCATTGTTCTTTTGGCCACTGAGTAAACTGTTGAGTTTTGCTATGTCAGCTCCACATTGACAGTGGCACTGAATAAGACCTTTAGCTTGTCCCCAAAGCATCCAGGATTCTTGTGAGATCTCCCACCCAAGGAATTTCTAGATCCAAAGCTGTACAGCTTGCAAGACCACAGGATAACAAAGGTGGGAAATCCTTTGATATCTATATGTCCATGACTGTGGGTTATTTTCTGCACTCAGTAAAGGTAAATATGAATGTAATTGGGAGCTGTATTTTTTGTTGGTTATGAAAGGGTTAAAAAGAAACACATTTGCAGCACAGAGGCAGAGCGACCTTGTGGGGAGCATTCTGGCCTGTACCAGCAGTTCTTTCTTCCTTTCCACATAGCTTCTAATGGAAAAGTACTGCCTGCCCTCTGTAAATTATTAATTTCTTCATGTTATCAGATACTGTTGATAAAAAGACAAGTGGCCCCTGTACTGACTGTCTGGGGTAAAATGAATAATTGCTGATGCCCTTTAAACTCTGTATAGGTTTTCATCTACTTTCCACTGGGCTCGGCTTTGCACTGTGCAATGGACTGTTACACACTTTAGCTGCTCACAAGTAACTCCCTGTGGAATAAACCCTTACTGCTTTCATTTTAGGGGCTGACTTAGACGAATGACTTTAAATTACTTACAACCTTCAGCTGATCTAAGATGTCAAACAAACTTTAAACTAGTATATGCTCAAGGATGTGCGAACCTGAAAACAAGGAAAGGTGGAGGCGCATTTTCATTAGTCACTGCTTCTCATGTGGAGGAAGGTCAGCCCCTGGAGCAGCTGGGCATGGAGGCAGCACACACTGCTGCTCCAGACAGTGCTCTTAGCTATTATTAATACAAACAACTCAAAGCAATAGTCTGATAAAAGCTCAATAAAAGCTACTGAGATTAGGGATCATGTTAACTAGTGTCGATAGCATAAATTATCAAGTGGAACAGCTCCAAATTATAGCATAAAGAGACTCATTTAAGGAGGATTATACATCAGGTTCAAAAAGAATGAGGAAGTAATGAGAATAAAAGCACATACCAGGTCCAACAAGTAGTACTTTTTGAAGGACTGCTATACCTCAGAAGATTTTAACTTTTCAGGATAAGCAGTTGAAACAGCAATAGGCACAACCGTAAGGGTGAACAGCTGTCTAAAATGCTGTAATGTACAGAAAATGGCACTTAACACATATTCATGAGGGACAGTACAGTATTCTGTATTGCAGAGATATGCATTAGGGCTAGCAGCAGACAGTCTAACTACTAAGGATTATCTCCATAGTATTCACTCTAGTTCTTCAGCATCCCTTCTGAGGTTATACTGCCTCATCATTTGTCATACTACTGCTGAAAGGTAGGGAGCATTTCCAGACCAGATTATGCTCTTGATACTCTGAAGAAAAGAAATATCAGATGGCTTGGTTGCGCTCATGTCTTCCAAAGTGGGTTTCAAAATGAATGGCAGATCAAAATTACAGATGGAATTAAACTTCTACTTGGGTCTCCCTATACATTTACATAAATGTTGAAGGACTAGGACAATCGTGGACCAAATGCTGTGCCTTGAGGTCTTGCAGTGCACTTTCTGAATTTACCATTCTCCCTTTTAAGCATGGTAGGTTTCTGTGGAGCAACATGCCTAAGGTTAACTTGTGTTAATCTTACCCCAGCCATTTGTTCCCCATGAATTTCCTAAACACTTTCCAGAACTGGATGCTCTATTTTTCTGGAAACACTTCAAACTGATAAAAATGTACTCTTTGAATGCTGTTGTAGAGGAGAAAGTCCTGAAGACATCCTCAAAAAAAAGAGCATCAGATCTAGTTGACATTTATAACACTAATTTATCCACTTTACTAACCAGACGCATCTGGCAAATTCAGTGTGCTTGCTAACAACTTGAACTTATAGGAAATATAGAGCTAAATGGGGTTTTGTGTAGATGGGCCAATGTTTTAGGTGGAGCTATGGGGAACAGCTTGTAGAGTTCTCACAATATCTGTTTGTATATCATACCACAAAGCCCTGTAGATAAATAGCTAATTAATAATATTTATTCTCAAAACAGTATTGTTGTTGAATTCAAAGTATTAGACAGTAAAAAGGGAGAAATTTCTGTAAGCAACAACATTCAAAGCAGATCACAACCATGAAAATCAGTACATTCACTGAGTACTGCTTTTGGGTATGGGTGGAAGGAAGTAAACAGGGGCTCAGAAGTATGGTGCTCTGAAGAGAGGATTGGTTCTGCTCTTTTGTATTAAGGATGGTCTGAATTAGACTTATTAGAGCAAAAGTCTTTCAAGTTGCTCAGCTCCCACTATGTACAGGGAAATAAGTTTTTATATGTTTTTCTTGTAAGTAATTGCCATAACATCAGCTACATTGGAATTAAATTCTTGATAACTTGAAGACAGTGCCAAAGCTTTGATTTTCAACCAAAAATGTCTCCTCAGATGAAAGAAGAGATAATGGTAACACACAGTACCATTGTAAATGTATTCCTCTTTGCAGGGAGGCCCAGAAATGAAATGGATGTGTAAAATGCCCTGGCTTTTCCATATTTTAGTTAGTCTGTCCAGTGATGTTTGAGGGAAGTTCAGAGTATGTTGTTGTACTGGTTTCATAACTAACCTGAAGTTTTCTATACCTTATCTTGGACTTCTCATGAACATTAAAATTCTTTAAATGGTTACTTGTGAGCCTTGACTGATAATGTTGCCACTGGAGGAATGTGGACAAACCCCCTGGCAAACAGGTTCGGTGTGTGCTGCAGGGAACCAACAGTACTGTTCAGGAAAACTATGCAAAAGCAGACTACTGTCACCTTAATAAACCCGAGAGATATCCTGACTTTGTCACTGAGGAGGATTCCACAGAATCAGGAAAATGAGAAGCTGAATGAGTTAGTGGATATTTTACATAACAGATGGGCTGGAATCTGCCCTCACCTAGAAATGGTAGAAACTTGCATCCACCTTTTCCACTGCTTGTCTGAACTAATCACAGAACCAATTAGTGATGAGATGATTGAGCCAGACGCTGTCTCTGCTATCCATTAGATTTCTTACTCCTTGATTTGAACAAATGTAAGACAAATGAGAAAGCAAAGGAGACTATATTGGATTGCACTACCTCTGTCATAAAAGATTATTCTTAAATTGTTTATTGAGTCTAGAAAGAGAAAAATATTTGACAGGAAGGAATAAATGCTGCCAACATTGATTGCTTCACTTTTCAAGGGCAAATTTGAAAGTGTACTTTCATCATCAGAGAGATGTTCTCATATACACCTGCAAGAGACATGAAAATCTGGCTGCTGGCATAACTCAATAATAATCTAGAGATGCCTGCATGCTGCACATGAGAGGATGTGGTGTGAAAGGATAGTGCAAAAGAAAAGGAAGGAAAAGCAAAATGGACAAGAAGGACCACAAGGACTAATAAGCCAGCAGAGAAAACAAAGATTGTCATGGCAGTCTCCAGAACTTCCTTTTGAAAGGAGGATTGGCAAGAGAGAGCTATCTGTAGAAGAAGCTCTGGATGATAAACTGAAGCTAGAATTCTGATATTACATAGTCCCAGAAATGACTGTGGTCTGCTTGTCCAGATATGTGAACCCTGCCCTGCCCTGCCTTTGCCAAAGTCCTTCAGGTACATCCCAGCTTCCGGCTTTGGAGCTGCTTTCTTGTCCACACAAACCACATTTTTACCAGAAAACATGGCACAATAGGACTACTTTCCCATTTTCAATTCCCCTGTCAGCTGGATTCCTAACTCTTAGACTTTGCTTTCTTCCATGGAAAGTCTCAAGCCTCCCCTGGTGCCTGCTGCTCCTTGGCACTTACCCTGCCATGCTGTTGCTGCTATTTACAGCTCTCCTGGTTTTCTTTCTTCAAATGTCCAAATAAAACAGAGGTTTCCATGTGTGAACAATGCAATATATTAAAGGAAAAACCAACAGTAATAAAAGGTATCAGATCACTCAAAGGAAAAATAATGGATTAGGGTAGAGGATGGAAAATAAAACTAGATTTAGCATTTTTCTCTCTGAAAAGAGAGAACAATCTACTGAAAAAAGGGAAAAATATAAATTGTTCATAAATTAAAATGTCAATGGCTTATTCCCTGTAGAGTACATGTCATCTTTAATACAAATATTTCTGATTGCAATATACACATTTCCATGACTGCTGTCTTACTTTCTGTTTGTCTTTATACAAATCTACTGAAAAACTTCTCTTCAAATATTCTTCATATTCTTCAAATATGAAGTTTGCTATGGAAGTTTTCCTAGCTCAACATGTTTTGCCTGCCAGCACTTACACAGGCAGCCTTTGTGAGTTAATTATTCCAGGTGGCTTAATTCTTCATGACAAATAATAGAAATGTAGAAAAACACTTATTATTTTTCTAACCCTTACAGAAACTGAGCGCTGGGCTGCATTAACTCTTGTGTGGCTTTTCAGAGACTGTAGGCACTTTCATGCCCCCAAACCATCTAGTTTATAGCCCCAAATGGAGACTGAGATAATCTTTACGCTGAAATCAACAGCAAAGATCCATTTCTCTTTCTTGATCGACTGAAGTTCCTCCAGTGGCTCAGTCCTGGCTTTCAGATTGTGTCTTGGTCAGATTCAAACCATAAGTTATAAATGGCTCCTCTGTGACAATCACATCACTGAGCATCATCAGTGGCCAGTGATTCTTTGACTTTGCAGCCCTGAGAGAAGAGTGTTCATCTGGGTGTTTGCATTTGAGCCAGCCCACATTTCAGTGATA